CAATTTACCTAGTTAGGCACCATTAGTCGTAAACGCACCTCTGCCACTTTCTTGTCCACTAAGACACTTCTTCCTTTCTAGAAATGAATCCTCAGCCAACAACTTTTCCCAAAAATGGACACACGTCCGAGCAAGCCTCCTCCTCTCCCGCAGTCTAGGTCCTGAGGTCTGCACGGCCTGGCACACGGGCTCGACCTGCTTCCCGAACCGCCCCTTCGATCCTGAGCCTGCCACCATGCATGCATACAGTTTTCTAGGGCAGGGCAGCTACACAGACGGGGAGCACAGGATGAAATAAACGGGTAATGCCATGTTATAAAATCAGGAACTTGCGCGCGGGGAGGGCCAAGACGGGAGAAGTGCGGATTTCAGGCCAGCCTGGGCTGCCGCGGTTACAGACCGTGCGGGGGTGGGGAGGGGCGGGGAGGGCACGGACGGGGGACACGGCCGCGCTAGCCTCACGCCCCAGGCCTCCGCTGCTGTCAGAATGAGACAGCACAGCTTTAAGCCAAGCCCTAGACCCTTAGGGAGCCGGCATCGCCGGCTTCGCCGTGCTTTGGGGACCCTTTCGAGGCCGGCGGACACACCGGTCAAAAGTGTGCCGACCCGGGTGGGGGTGGAAGTGGGCGGCACCTGGGGCGGCGACTCCCCGTCTTCTGGAAACTACGGTTCGAGAACACTCAGCCAGGGCTAACCTCGGTGGGCGCGGGCAGGCCCCCCCGCCGGGCCTCGCACCCTTCCCGGCGGCGGGGCGGTCGGGGAGCCGGCCTCCGTCTCCGCCCGGGCTCCGCCTTCAGGGTGTGTGGGCCCGCACGCGTGCGGCGCATCGCCTGGGCAACCGACGCCGCGCGCGGTGCATTGTGGTCTGCAACAAAATGCAGGAGAAAGATCCTGAAGGAACCATTGAATCCACGGGCCAATAGGGAGGGGCCGGGGGCTGCGCTCAGCCAATAGCGACGTGCGCCGGGGGCGGGGCCGCGGGCGCAGGGCGGGGCCTCGGGATTAGGCGGCGGCGGCTGGCGTGGGGCTCCTTAGATGCGCCACGGCTTCGGTAGCGACCGGCTCTCCCCTGCTGCCTGAGCGGCGCCAGCACCTTCCTCGGGAGCTCGCAGCAGCCGGCCGGCTCCTGCTCCACGGTGAGGAGGGGGCTCGGGGCCCCCGGGGCCCGGGGCCTGCCGTGCGGGCCGCTCGGCAGCGGGTGGGGGCGTCGTCCTCAGGGGCCGGCCGGGAGGGCAGCGCGGCCCGCACCCTGACCCTTCCTCTCCCGCAGGCAACCATGTGCGACCGGAAGGCGGTGATCAAAAATGCAGACATGTCGGAAGAGATGCAACAGGACTCGGTGGAGTGCGCTACTCAGGCGTTGGAGAAGTACAACATAGAAAAGGATATTGCGGCCCATATCAAGAAGGTGAGGGCCCGCCACCGCACACTTCCTTCTCCCCGACTCCGCGCGCCCTGGGCGCTTGGCAGTTTTCCCGTGGCATTCAGGGCGGCCCGGTATAGACAGTTCTAGAAAGGACGCAGAAAGATTCTGCGTTCCTCTTGGGAAGACCAGACCCTCAACGCCCGAAGTTTTTTTTTTTTTTTTTTTTTTTTTTTTTTTTTTTAACCCCAGCTCCTTGGGGGAAAGCGCCACCTAGCAACGGTTTCCAAGATCAGGGAGCAGCAAGCGGTTCCCCCTACTGATTGCTGCGCCGAGGATGTGGCTGGGTGTTGGGGGGAGCGGGTGTGCGCTGCGTGGGTGTTTCCAGCCGGGCTAGGAGGAGATTTTGCCAGCCTTCCAGCCGGGAGTTAGTCGACAGTTCAGGGAAAGTGGGTGGCAGTGTGGTTGGTGGTCGGGGGCTTGGGTGGAGGGTTGGTAAATGGCACTTTGTAGAAAGCTGGCAAGACTGCCAACTTCTCAAGCTGTGTTTGCTGGGAGCCGAAGCCGTGGGAGGGTTCCAGTGGAGAATGGGAAGATGAAAGGCTCACATGGAACAGAAATGAATACCTGTATTGACAGACGCAGCCCCGTGTGCATCAGGACTGTGAGAGACATTCTGCATGCAGGATGAGATTATCTTTGACCCCGGTTCGATCCACCTAGTGAAGAAATGAATGTTTCTAGTTCTAGTGCCCGTTGCGATGGGGGAAGCAGGGAGCATATGCTCCCTAACTTGCTAAGACTGGGCAGTAGATGTGGAGAGGAGAGCAGTTTTGAAGGATAGAGTCTGGCTGCTGAGCTAGATGTCAGATTCTGTTGCCAGCATTTTATTTCTCAGCCCAGCTTGATTTGGATAATAATTGAGGCTTTGTCCTTTAGTCTTTCTACAAGTGTCATTAAAGGGGTGGGGGTTCCTACTGTCATCCTGGATTCAGGGTGTAGGGTAGGACAGTCATGAGAAAGAACCTGATAAACTACAGACGCTGATGTCATCTGTTTCCATTGAATATGTGGAGTCAGAGGTGCACTGGGCATGGTGGTGCACGCCTTTAATCCCGGCAGAAGCAGGCAGATCTCTTTGACTTCAAGGATAAAGTGTTCTACATAGGGAGTTCAGGACAGTCAGGGCTGCATTGAGACCCCCATCCCTCCGAGAAGTCAGATACAATCTCTGAAACAGAAATGTCTTTGAAAATGACCTGCTGCCTTTGATTTCCTCAGCTTCCATCACATCTTACCTCAGACTGCAAGCATGTTTGCAGTACTGTATTAGGTAGGTGACTTCGAGTCAGGCAACATTCTTTATCCTAAGAATTGGCTGGGGTTGTGAGTATAACTCAGCACATCCAAGGCCCTGGATTGAGCCCCCAGTGTGGAAACAATTCAAGATGCCAGCCAGTGTTTGTCCTTTCTGATCCTACAGGCTTTGGCTTTTCTGGAAAGTGACTTCTCTGGTGTACCATTAAAATTGTGTTTTATTCCCTCCCAGGAGTTTGACAAGAAGTACAACCCCACCTGGCACTGCATTGTGGGTCGGAACTTCGGTAGCTATGTGACACACGAAACCAAACACTTCATCTACTTCTACCTGGGCCAGGTGGCCATTCTTCTGTTCAAATCTGGTTAAAAGCATGGACTGTGCCAAACACCCAGTGATCCATCCAAAAACAAGGACTGCATCCTAAATTCCAAACACCAGAGACTGACTCTTCAGCCTTGCTAAGGGAACACCTCGTTCGAATCTGTTGTGTTTTGTACAGGGCATCATCCTCTGTACCAGTTTGTGGTTATAAAATAATTAGTAAAACAGCTTACATTTGTATTTATTTTCTAGTCCATACTTCTGTACCCCGTTTTTTTCTCCCTTAGGCTATTCCTTTGAAAATAAATCTGTTGGAGATGTGCATGTGTGCTAGTTTGTTCAAGCAGGGTAGGGCTGAAGCAGTTGATAGGTCACAGGATTTAGGGTTGAGGACTCCATGTGTTTTGGGATTAGACATTGTACTACTTTTAAGGTGGAATGCTTGGCTGGCTGCGCTGGTTTCTCCAGATGATTTGGGCTCTGAGGCTCCATCCCTGTCACCCCAGCTCTCCTGGGTTAGAGGGACGTGACTCAGCTCTCCTACACTGTGTTTTCTCCTTACGGTCCTCAGAAGTCAATTAGTAAGTTTTCACATAAGAACCTCACTAAAGCTGTCAGTGTATTCACCAAAGGCTTCCTGAGTTCAATTTCAGAGAAAAGCATGTATAGGAGACCCCTACAGGCTGAGAACCGAGCCCCAGGCGCCTGGGGGAAGTACATCAGGGCTCTTTTCCATTGTCACAAGATAATAACTCTGGTTTAAATGTGATTGAGGTTTCTAAGCAGCCTGTTTGACAGAACAGTGGCAGACTTGACTGACAGATCCTCCATGTGATTTTATCAGGTCAATTACAGCTTTGACAGGTCCTTCTCTACTGAACTTGGTTAGATTTGTTTTTTTTTCCTGCAGGAATTCTGAGAAGAGGCATGAAACATCTTCACTGTTCTTGTACATGTGTGGAAGTCAGGATAACTGGGCAACACCATGTACAATCAGATCTGTTCCATGCCTGTTTGATTTTTGTGACTGTCTTTTGCAGCCCAGGCTGACCTAAAACTCACAATGTAGCTGAGGATAACCTCTAACCAATCTTGTTCACTTGCCAAGTCCTGGGGTTGCAGATACGCAACACCCCTCCTGGTTGTATTAGTTTCTGTTGACAGCTGACCTGTGTTCCCTTTTATCTGCAGAAAACATGGGGTATTTTGGAGCAGGAGACTAGTTAGGGTAATTCAGATTTGTACTTTTTGAGCACAGAGGTATTTCCCTCTTTGTGACTGGCTGTTTTTATTTGAAACCTGACGGGAATTTGGCCATCAAAACCAGATGTCTCTAGCAAGTCCCTAGAGCTAATTAGCAAGACACCAAGGCTGGACACTGAGAAGAGTTCTGTTCTAATTTGATCTGGCCTGTGTTTCCTGTCAAGAAGGCTGGTAGCTTTTAACTTTCATTTTCAGGTTCAGATGAGAAAACATGTTGCTATAGAAATAAAATAGGTTGGATGGTTTATGGAGTATCTCAGTGCCTGTTCCTCCCTGTTAATTTAAAAGCCAGCAGGCTCCAGCTGGCTGAAGAATGAATTCTTTAAGGTGCAGCGTTTTCTCGGGTGCTCTCTGCTGTTCTATCTGTAGTTGGCCGTCTGGAAGCTGCGGTGACAGACGGTCTTGTGAGAGCTATAGATGTCCCCTAATGTGCTGGGCCTTTTGGATAGCTCTTTGTTGTCATGTTTTGGAGACAGGGTTTCTCTGTATCCCTGGCTGGCCTTGAACTAAGACACCCTCCTGCCTCTGCCTCCTGAGTGTGCGGCTGCGAGTGTGTACTGGCACACCTGAACTTTCTTAGCAGGGGTTCTTAATACTGAGCATTGTTTTCAAACCACACACGAACCCTGTGAGCCTCACACTGGACAGTACAGACACAATGCCTAGACACACTCTGGAATATGGGCAGGGGCAGGATGGACACAAGGCTTTATTTTACTTTTTTGAGATAGTACACAGCTCTAGCTGGCAGGGTTGGCTTGCGGTAGTCCCGCACCTGCGTGCTGACAGTGCAGTTTTGTGCCACAGTCAGGACTCACACATACATGTACTTCTTAGCTTACATTTATTTTACTGTGTGTGTATAACTGCTTGCATGTATGCGTGTGCACAGCACCCACAGAAGTTGAAAGAGGGCACTGGGCCCCCTAGCATGAGTTACAGGTGATTGTGAACACCGTGTGGGTGCTGGAAACCAAACTGGGTTTGCAAGAGCAGGGGGTGACAGCTCCTACAGGGTCCCCAACCTTGTCCCTTCCTTTCCCTTTTTGCTGTAAGCATGTATAAATGTATTCTGACGAGCTGTTTACCAAGGCTTAGCACTGACTCTCCTGATGATGGACACTGAGGACGGTGTCTTGGTGACTGAGCCCTGACAGGACACTGATGTAATGCCTTTGTGTCTCCTCCAAGAAAGAGAAGCAAACAGCACCCAAACTATAAGCTTTACTGCTTCACACCAAACCCAGGGCCTTGCCAGGCTAAGCACGTGCTCTGCTGCTGAGCTACACCCTGGGCCCGGGTTCTAATGTGCTCGCCATCAGCACCTCGCCAGCCCAAGTTTCTAATTGTCGGCCTTGGATGAAGGGCTGGTTCAGACCATCCTGAGCTTCCAGGGATCCATTATCCCTCTGGAACGCATCTGTGATAGAGATGCTACCAGGAAGCTTCAGAACTGTGAGTGCTGCTTCTATCTGACTCCACAGTGCACAGACGATTGTTAGTGGGAGTTCAACAAAACCAGGCCAGACCCTCCTGGGAGAAAGAAGGCCAAAGGCCACCTGTGCAGCTGCTAATGAGCTGCAAAAAATGGCAAGGGTTTGTGCCTTCCTTTTCCAGACTGGTCAATGCAGACAGAGTCCAAGGTGTTAGAGCCTAAGATGAAGTAGACGCTCAGACTGTCTCGTCAGGGAGAGTCTTTTCCATTTCCAGGCCTCGGCAGGACTGGTTTGTGCTGCACGACAGAAGGAAGCTACAGTTTGAACCCAGAATGAATGGCCACAATCCCAGAGGTCAGGCTTTCATAGGTCACCTTCTGAAAGCCTGCATCTTCAATCATCTCCTTGAACTCTTCCTAAAACATAAGAAAAGGCACATGGAAGGCTTGGGTTTCAAGCTCAAGGCCTCCACTCTGAGTTACAAAAGCTCTGTACCTGATTAGGGAACTTCCGAATACTTTCCACAAGGTACTGATAGGACTTCCAGTCTCCTGCAATGACCTCTCCAATGACAGGGATGACCTGGAAACTGTACAGATCATAAAGCCTAAAAAAACAAAAATAGTGACAAAGGCAAAGATTAAGATTAGGGTGGACTCTGGACGTACTCCCTGGTGCCTCCACTCATAATGTAAAGAAAAGTGGGGGCTACCAAAGATGGCTGTGGTTAAGAGTGCTTACTGTAGCCAGGCATGTCACTACACCCCTTTAACTGCACCACTTGGGAGGCAGAGGCAGGCAGACCTCTGAGTTTGAGGCTAGCCTGGTCTACATAGAGTTCCAGGACAGCCAGGGCTATCCAGGGAAACCCTGTCTCAAAAAGAATAACAACAAAAATCTTTTTTTTACAAAAATGTACTTGGATCCATCCTTTAAACAGTAAGTGAGACGGTTTAAGCCAGGAGTCACTGACTCCTGTCTATAAGGGTCAAGCGAAGTGCCTGAAACAAGGCAAGCAGACCAAGAGGCCCATGGCAAGTGACAGACCTGCACAAAACCAGAGCAGAGGCAGTTAACTTTGTCCCTGATGCCTGCATCAAGGAGCCTGCTCCATCCACCCAGCCTGTGACACAATCCGGGCTCCTCTGTAAGATGTCCTGATGTTAAGGTTTTGGCTGGCTGGTGGGTCTGAGATAGAGCCTCACTCTGTAGACTAGCATGGCCTGGAACTCACTATATAAAGCCCTGTTACCAGCGCTGACCTGGATATGAGGGGATCGTTCACTTGGCTAAACTCCAGACAGAGAAACCGTCCTCCTGGCTTTAGGACCCGATGTGCTTCCTGGAGTGCCTAAAGGAGCGAGAAGGAATCACTCAGCAGACCTCCCTGCAATTCCAAGGGGCAGAGAGAAGGAATCACTCAGCAGACCTCCCTGCAATTCCAAGGGGCAGAGGCTGGGTTAGTGTGAGTGTGCACTGCAGCAGTGTCCATAAACGTCTATGTCCTCAGGGGTTGCAATGCAGGAATCACCCATGCCACAGGCACTTACTGCCCATGCCTAGAGGAAGGTGCTGATGCAGGCAGACGGAAAATGACAGGTACGTAAGTAATTCACCGTATGTGGCACATCTTTAATCATGGAGAGCCTGGTAAGCACCATGGGAAATCTGCACAAACAGAATCGATTCAGCTATTGTCAAGGGACAAACTAAGAGTTCTATGTGATAACATGGAGGAAAATCACCATATAAACCTGACTAGTGGCCCAGGCCTGTCACCCCAGGTGCTTGGGAGATGGCACAGAAGAATGTAAGTTCAAGGCTAGCCTAGGCTACAGGGTGAGTTTAAGGCAAGCTTAAGTTAATGAGATTATGAATGAGCATGTGTAAAAGCCCTGGTTCAATCTTAAGCAACACAGACACATACAAAATCACCAGTGTGCGTGTTTCACTTTCCCAAATGCTAGAAACAGGATGGGTACAAGTTCAAAGACAGCCTGGGCTACACAGTGAGACCCTGCTTCAAAACAAAACGAGGATTTGTTCTTTCGAGATAGGATATTACTACATAGGTCTTGCTGGCCTGAAATTCACTATGTAGAACAGGCCTCAAACTTAAAGCAATCCTCCTGCTTTTGCAAAGTGTTCAAAATATAGCCAAATGCTACCACGCCTGCCTTCAAAGTGCTTTTTTATCTTTTTTTAATTAAAAAAATACAGCTGGGTGTAGTGGCACATACCTTTAAGCTCAGCACTTGGGAGGCAGAGGCCGGTGAATCCCTGAATTCCAGGGTAGCCTGATCTACCCAGTAAGTCATAGATAGCAAGTTCTATGCCAAGGCTACATGTGGAAACTTGTCTCAAAAAAACAAACTACATACACACACTCTACGTGTATACATACGTATCTATATCTATACATCTATACCTACACTTATATATGTAGCGTGTGTGCGTGCATGTGTGCACATACATGAGCACATGTAGAGGTCAGAGAACGATTTGCAGGAGCTGATACTTTCTTCTGTATTTCCTAGGTTTGGCAGCAAGTGCTTTTATCCTGCACTTTTGATCTTCGTTTCCAAGTAATGACACACAGAGAGGGACAGAGGAGACAGAGAGGGGAAAGGAAGGGAGAGAGGGAGACACAAAAACAGGGGTGGGGAGGGAGGGGGATGAGAGCGCTTAGAGAAGTGCTGACGGTCAGGGCCCCCAAACTGCCAGGAGGCTTGCACACACTCAACTGGTCTATGGGGTTCCCACAAGGCCCCTCCTAAAGGCCCACAGCTCCTGGCAATAGTGTGAACCTCAGAGCTCTAGGAGAGTCCTATATTCAAACCAGAGCAATCACTGCAAACAAAGTCCTACCCTGTGGAGGAGTCAGACACTGGGGCCCACAGCACTGAGAAGCAGCCAGTTTCTTGCAAATGGTCTTTAAATGTTGGACAGAATGTTCAGAAGAAAATAAAGCGCCAAATCCCATTGAGAAATGAACATTCTCTTCCCTCTGTACAGGAGCAACAGGAGCATGGTTCTCCCCTGTGCCCGCACAGCACCGAGTGAGTATTCTCGTGTCTGGCCACGCCTCTGACCTGTATGCTCACACAGCTTCACAAGAGGAAACAGGAAATGCCAAGTCCAAGGCCAGGCCAGCCACCAAGAGAATGTGAGTACCAACCTGAGCAGCCCAGAGCTGGTCTGCGAGTCTGGCTCAATTTTGTGGCAACTTAGAAGAAAGCCCTGGGGTTGGAGATGGGGGCTCAGTGGCTAAGAGCACTCACTGCTCACACAGAGGACCCAGGCTCAAGTTCCCAGCATGGCTTCTAACTTCCTATAACTCCAGCCCCGCAAGATCTAACACTCTGGCCTCCAAGGGCGCTTGGTATGAACATGATGTACATAGACTCACACAGCTACACACAAACACACACACACACACATACATACATACACACATACATATATACACACACACATACACACACATATACACACACACATACATATATACACAATGTATACATACATACACACATACACATATGCATACATACACACACATACCTATACACACATATACATACATACACATACATACACACATATATACACACACACACACACACATACATTAATGAATAAGAGAAGAGGGCTATGAAGATAGCCCTCAGAACCTATGTAAAAGCCATACTTCCCAGGGCCAGTATACCAGCACATATACAATATACACCACCACACACACACACCAAATATATCAAGGAGGAGGAAGAGGAGGAGGAAACCTCCTCTTAAGTACAGGGACCAGGAAAGAATCTCCCTGTCCTCACATGGGGCAGGTCCACTCCAGGGAAACTGCTATCTCAAAGTCACATGCGTCCTGACCATACACTTGTTCATACCCGGTCAATGTGTGTGACATTCCGGATCCCAAAAGCAATGGTGTACACGTCGAATTGGTCATCATCAAAGGGCATCTCTTCAGCATCTCCCAGTACCCAGGCAAGTCCTGGAAGTCAAAAGCAGTCCCAGTGTAAGTCTAGGTGGCCACCTCCCATGCACCAGAGGGGCGGTGAACCTGTGGATTCCGTGGCACGCCCAGCGTCAAAGGGTTTTTTTGTTTTGCTTTGTTTGTGTGTGTGTGTATGTGTGAGTGTACCTGATATATATATATGTAAGTGCACCACATATGTACAAGAGCCCACAGAGGTCAGGAGAGGGTGCTGAAGACTCTGGAATTGGAGTTTTAGGCAGCTCTAAGCCGGCGTTTGGATGCTGGGAAGCCACTGAAAGAGTAAGCTCCCAGTCACCAAGCCATCTCTCCAGCCCTAGCTTAAAGACCGTAAGTGGCTTTACTTTTTCATTTCATAATCAGGCAGATAGAGGACCTGGTATCGGCTCAAGGACAGCCTTGACAGCTAGCCTGGGTAACGTGATATCTTGACATCTTGTCTCAAACAACAATGAATTCCTAAGCAGGTTCAGAGCTACACTATGGAGGAGACAGTCCCAGAAATGGAACATTACCTATCCTTTTACTGTTTGTTCTCCATCCTTTATGGCCGAGCACCAGAGAAGGGAGATACATTTGTCAGTAGGAGTAAGACACATAGCGCCTTTCTTTGCTAGAGACAGCTAACAAAGGAGCCCTTCATTGTGAAGGCCAAGTGGGCTGTAGCCCGTCTAGGCAGCTCCTTGGCGTGTGAGGAGGAGGAAGAGAAGAATCGGCCTAAAATAACCAGACAGTCATGGAGGGGAGGAATGCCGAGGTCGCCCAGAGCGTTGACAGAGGACATTTTTGCAATTTGCCCTTGTCTCTCTGGCGGCCTGTGCTGGGCAGCTGTCAAGAGGGTGCAGTATTCAGGGTCAGCAGTGAACCTGCCAACATTAAGGGCAAGCTTGTGTTGTTGTTCGAGATGGTTTCACTATTCAGCCTGGACCAGCTGGGGTTCACCAGTTTGTGAGTTCTCACAAAGATTTCCTAGTTTTGCCTTCCAAGTTCTGGGATTAAAAGTATGCTCCACCATGGTTGGCTAGGCAACTATTTTGAAATATTCAATGGCTAGGAGTAAAATCAGCAGTAGCACAGTCAGTATATATAAGAGCCTGAGTTCAATCTCCAGTCCTGAGGAAGGAAGGAGGGAGGGAGGGAGGGAGGGAGGGAGGGAGGGAGGGAGGGAGGGGGAGGGAGGGAGGGAGGGAGGGAGGAAGGAGGGAGGGAGGAAGGAAGGAAGGAAGGAGGGAGGGAGGAAGGAAGGGAGGGAGGGAGGGAGGGAGGAGGGAGGGAGGGAGGGAGGAGGGAGGGAAGGAGGGAGGGAAGGAAGGAAGGGAGGGAGGGAGGGAGGGAGGGAGGAGGGAGAAAGGAAGGAAGGAAGGAAGGAGGGAGGGAGGAAGGAAGGGAGGGAGGGAGGGAGGGAGGGAGGGAGGGAGGAAGGAGGGAGGAAGGAAGGAGGGAGAAAGGGAGGGAAAATTATGTGACTTAAGCTCCTACTATGAGTTCAAGGCCACCCTGGTCTATAGAGTGAGTTACAGGCTACACAAAGCTATAAAAGTTAAGACCCTCTCTCAAATAAAACAACAACGAAACCAACAACTTGGAAGATTTTTAGGGCTAGTGGGATAGCTCAGTGGGTAAAGGTGATTGCTGCCAACCCCAATGATGTGAGTTCAATTCCCAACTCCCACAAGTTGTCTTCTGCTCTCCACAGGAGCACTATGACACCAGCACAGTGCCCCCTAACCAATTACATAACAAACATAATTTTAAAAAGTGACATTGGCTGGGAGAGGGCTCAGCAGTTAAGAGCACCGGCTGCTCCCCCAGAGGGCCTCAGCTTGATTCCTAACACCCAGCTGGCTGACAACTCCAGGTCTAGGGATCTGATGCCCTCTTCTGGCCTCTACAGGCACCACACACCCACATACTGCAGAGACATACATGCAATTTAAAACACTATACAAATTTTTAAAACTGTAACAAGTTTAAAAAAAAAAACAAGATCCTTCAGCTCTCTGGGCTACACAGCACTGTTCATCAAGCTCAACATGATGCCCCGATTCTGGACCACACCTATGAGCCGCGCTCAGCCACAGAGGCTTCTCCCATACCTGCCGATTGCTCACACGTCCAGGGGCTGGAACGTAAGACACTCCAGAATCTGATGTGCAATCGCCTTCCTTTGTAAACTTGCAAATGATGCCCGTGTGTGCTGAGGGACTTACCAGCTGTGTGTCCTTGGTCCAAGGCTTTCTGCTTCCCGACCTTTAGCATCTCCCTGTTGATGTCACAGACCGTGACAAGGGAGCCTCCCAAGGGATCATCTTCATTCTGGTACCTTTTGGCAATTTCTTCCCAGGATAAATTCTGCTGGGCCCGTAACTGTCTCCTCCGTTTTCTCTGGTGCTGTTTCTGCACATAACTAAGGAACCGGAAGGCAATGTCGCCTGTGGGAAGCCAACAGAAGGAAAGGCACAAATGAAACCCAACAGCCAGTATCCCAGGCCCCAAAGAGCAGAGGAGAGGGATGTGACTCAGGAAGGGCGCACTGCTCCTTTCGACAAAAACAGGGTCCCCACTCCCACCCCGCAAGGGTGTGTCTGTATTGTTCAGGGTGGCCTTCAACTCCTGGCCCTCATGCTTTACTCTCCTGAGCTGGGATCACAGACGCACCCCATCACTCCCCCCTCTCCCCTCCATTTCTTTTCTGCTACTCTTTCATGTAGTTCAGTGTGGCCCTGGGCTCACCCAGTAGCCAAGGATGGTTTTGAACTCCTGGTCCTCACGCCTCCACCCTGAGTGCTGGGATTATATGTGCACCACCACACAACTGGTGTTTAGAAGGATTCTCCCACTAAGGGCTTCAGGTGAGGCTCAGCTGGGAGAGTGCTGGCCTAGCATGCACAAATTGAGGGCCCCGTGCTAGAACGGAGTATGGCATACGCCAAGCATGGCAGAGCGTGCTGCAATCACAGCACTATGGGGGCGGGGAAGAGGGTCAGGTCAGCCTCACAGCCACAGCTACATGATGAGTTTAAGTCAGCCTGTGATACAGGACACTCAGCGCGCACACACACCCACACACACACCCCCCCACACACACACACGGGGCCACTCATGGCAGAACATGCCCACTACAAACTCCCTGGAAGGCACAAGAAGGCTTGGGGGGCTTGCGGGATCTACACAGCAAGTCCCAGGCAGCCAGGCAGCATAGTAAGGCCCGACCCACTGTCTGTAAAACACAAAGACTTCTATAAGCAGTGTAAGATGCCTTTGGCACCATAGGTTCCCAATCTAGACTCAGGCACGGGCCCCTGGAACGGCACCCACAGCCGACCTGTGTTGTGTGACAGTGAGACCAGGGTCTCAAGCTTGAACCCGGGTAGGCGCTCTTCCGCCAAGCTGCGCCTTACTCCCAAGCGTGTGTTCTATTAATACCGTGGTTGCGCTTTAGTTTTCTGAGATGGGGTGGGCTTCATGTAATCTCGGCTGTCCTCAGATTTGCTGTGCCTCCACCTTCTGAAGGGGAAGACTGTGAGTGTGCACTGCAGTCATGGTTACGGGTGCTGCGGAGTGAACCCAGAGTCTCACGTGCGCCAGCTCTCCACCAACCAAGCCACATCTCCAGCTCTATTTGTCTGGTTTTTATTAACAGGCTTCTTCCTTGTGGGGTTTTGTTTTTTTGAGACAGGGTTTCTCTGTGTAGCCCTAGCTGGCCTTGTACTCAGGGATCTGTCTGCCCCTGCCTCCTGAGTGCTGGGAATAAAGGTGTGTGCCACTCGCTCCCAGCTTATTATTTTTAGGGTTTTATTTTGACCATGTGTACACTTGTGTCTGTGTGGGGGTTCGTGCAGTGCCTGTGGAGTCCAGAAGTTCCCTGCAGCGAAAGTTACAGCCAATTGTGAGCCACCTGGCATGGGTGCCGGGAACCAAACCTGGGTCCTCGGCAAGAGCAGTATGTGCTCTTAACCACTGAGCTGTCCCTCCAGCCCCTATCTGTGTGGTTTTTGACACAGGGTAGTAGTCAGAATCTGTAGTCCAGAGACAGAACAGTCATTCAGATGATGAAATGTCACAGAACAATTCTTAGTTTATAAAATCCTTTCTCAGAAAGGTACCAGGTGCAAAGCTGCTCTGGACAGGCACCTGCCCTTTCTCAGGCTGGATGCACAGGGATCTTTCAGTCACCACCGTTGGCCTAATGGCAGCTGTGGCAGCCCAGTTCATCAGCAAATAGGTGTAACAGGATGCTCAGCCTTCCCCAGGGACGTCACGCAGGACATTACCTGTACCTCCAGCCACATCGAGCAGTTGGGTCCCAGGCAGTGGGTGCATTTTCTGGATCAGCAAATCTTTCCAAGCTCGATGGATGCCGAGACTCATCATATCATTCATCACGTCATACTTCTTGGCTACACTCTCGAACACCTGATAGACTGGCATGGGACAGACAGTTATGACCAGGATGGACATGGGGAGGAAAATCTGAATGAAAAACACAAAGGGAGGCTTTCCCTCTAGAAAGTGCCTGTCTTGGCAAGGTGACGCTAAGCTGCAATGCTTGGTACCCAAGATGCACCTTTTGGGGTGCTGGGGATTGAACCTGAAGCCTTGCACGTGCTGCTAGGTAAGAACCCTGTCACCAAATGGTTTCCCCAGACCCCAACACCACCGTGCATCAAATGCTTAAAGGTCCACAAGAGAAGCCAACCTCTTTCCTAAAGTCCAACATCACCGTTCAAACATGGTGACCATGAGTATGCCAATGATTCCATGACTCATTAGGAGATAAGGGGTGTATGTCATAATCAGTGACCAGCCGTGCCATCAACTTCATAGACTGCAGGCTGGGGAGTGTCATCATCACAGATCAGTTCATCACTGGATACTCATTCATGCCAGGGCATAGAACTTCATGATACTTCTACCGTTTCCTTGTCTCCTGGTGACAAATCCGTGCGGCATGCTTACATAAATGAGGAAACTGAGCAACAAAACCGAGAGACCAGGGGAATGAGTGTGGAGATCAGTGAGCGTGACCGAGGCCCTGAATTTAATTTAATCCCAAGTGCTGCCGAAGGGGAAAAGGCCAGCAAGCAGCAGCAGCAGCAGCAGCGAAGGGTACATCACACAAAGGGAGAGGGGCCCCGGAGGGAGCAGAGCGTGAATGCGTGTCGGTGCAGTCACTAGCAGAAGAGGTGACTGAGGACACAGACAGCTGTGCCCCAGAGCCTGCAGATACACAGCAGAGCTGTGTGAGGCTAAACTTCCTAACCTAGGTGAGGCATAAGGGTTGTGTCAACCAGGTTCACCATATTTCAGAGGAAATAAAAAATCATAGAGCCAGGGAGATGGCTCGGTGGGAGGAGGAGCACCTGCCGGGGTCAGGGAGGCTCGGTGGGAGGAGGAGCACCTGCCGGGGTCAGGGAGGCTCAGTGGGTGGAGGAGCACCTGCCGGGGTCAGGGAGGCTCGGTGGGAGGAGGAGCACCTGCCGGGGTCAGGGAGGCTCAGTGGGAGGAGGAGCACCTGCCGGGGTCAGGGAGGCTCAGTGGGAGGAGGAGCACCTGCCTCCAAGTCTGAAGGTGTGAGTTTGAGCAAAGGAGAGGATTCCTACAAGTTGTCCTCTGACCTCCACTGAGCCCACAGACACACCCACACACACCAATACAAATATAGTAGAATTGTTTAGAAATCCCATTAAAAGGGTTCTTACTGAAACAGTTTTATTCTCAGTGATTATAATTTTTCTTGGGATTTAAACTTTTTAAATCAAGATTTTAAAATGTTAGTGAAATCCCATTTGTTTGGCATGTATATATATATATATATATATACATACATACACACACACACACACACATATATACATATATGTGTGTGTGTGTTTGTTTTTCAAGACAGGGTTTCTCTGTGTAACAACAGTCCGGGCTGTACTGGGACTCACTTTGTAGACCAGACTGGCCTGGAGCTCTGGCTCCCAAGTGCTGGGATTAACAGTGTGCACCACCACATCCAACCCTGAAATCACAAAGATCAGCTTGCTTCTAGCTCGTGTGTGTGTGTGTGTGTGTGTGTGTGTGTGTGTGTTCTCTCACTTACTAGCAACTTTGTGTGTGTCTCTGTAAACACAGGCTCTCGTTATCTGAGGCTGGCTTCAAATTCAAGATATAGTCAACTTCTAATCCTCCTGCATCCACCTTCCAAGTGCTGGGATCACAAGTTTATACACCCACCACTCGCGAGTTATGTGGCTCTGGGGATCGAACCGAGCAGCGGGAGTGAGAGGCAAGAACTCTACCAACCGAGCTACATTCCCAGCCCGACTACCATTTTAAACTGTGCAAGTTTTTGCTTAACTCAACTCTGTGTTTCCTAAGAAAGGGACTAAATAGTCACTAGTGGGGAAGGACAGTGAGAAATGGGGGGAGGGGGTGTCTACACGACGCCTGGCAAATGACAACCTCGAAGCTGAGGAGAGGTGAGGGGCGACGCGGGTTTGGTGGCGCTCGCCTTTGATCCCAGCACTCAAGAGGCAGAGGCGGTTCTGGGTCAGCCTGGTCTACACGTCAAGTTCGAGGACAATCAAGGTGACACAGAGAGACACAGGGAAGTCCAAAAAAGAAAAAAAAAAATCAAAACTCAAAAAGGGGGGGCGCGCGAGGCTGTAGCGCCCCCAGCCCGCGCCCCCAGCTGCTGAAACTGAGGCCGGGGAGCGGGGGGCGGGGAGCGGGGGGCGGGGAGCGGGGAGCGGGGGGCGGGGACCCGGGAGCCGGGGGCGGGGAGCGGGGGGCGGGGAGCGGGGAGCGGGGGGCGGGGAGCGGGGACCCGGGAGCGGGGACCCGGGAGCGGGGAGCGGGGGCGGGGAGCGGGGAGCGGGGGGCGGGGAGCGGGGACCCGGGAGCGGGGGGCGGGGAGCGGGAGCGGGGCCGGGCGCTGGGTGCGCCGGACGGAAGTCAGCGCCGGGGGCTGCGAGCGCCACAGCCCCGGGGCCAGCAGGACACTGAATCAACCCTGCGTGGGACAAAGGAGGCCGAGGCGACGCCACGCTGGCCCCGCCCGCGCGCCCGCCCGCGCGCTCACCTCTGCCCGCTTTCTCCTCCTCCGACACAGTCTCGAACCCGAAGTGCGTTTCCGCGGCTGGCCGCTCGTGGGACAGGGGCCGCGCGCTGGGCGAGGCTCGGGGCCAGGGCCTGTGCGACCCGGGGAGCCTGCAGCCCGCCGCTGCCCGCCACCACCCGCCGCGGCCCTGGCGCCACAGCCCGCAGCTCCTGGGGGCAGCCATCTTGAAACCGCGGCGCCCCGGCACGCAGGGTCACGTCACCGGCAGCCGCGTGACGGCTGCCGGCAGGAGACAATATTAGTGGAACGCGCCCGGAAAAAAAAAAAAAAAAAAAGAAAGAAAAGGAAAGAACGCCAGTTGTTAAGGCGTCATGCTGGCTCTAGGATTTGGAAACCTGAAAGAAAGGCTCTCCTGCGTTCCCTAACGGAATTTAGAATTCACCAGGAATGAGGAGAGCTCGGAGTGAGGCCCTGGTTGTGTTTCAGCGGCTTTCTTTCCATCCTGCCCACCAGTACCTCTGCATCCCCAGAGCTATGTTTTCTAGTGCGGGATCTGGCTGAAACTGAAGCAACGTTGTAGTTAAAAGACCAAGACTATGCGATTGTGTGTGTGTGTGTGTGTGTGTGTGTGTGTGTGTGTGTGTGTGTCTTTAATTATATAAGTAATTATATGTAATATATTTTATATGTGTGTGCTTGTGTGTCTATGATTATGAGCTTGCAGGTGTCTGTGGGACCCACAGGCATCGGATACCTTGGCGCTGTAATTGTAGGCAGGTGAGCCTACTGACTCGGGTGCTGGTGATCCAACTCCTGCGTTTTCCCTGAGTGGTAGCATCATAACAGGTGAGCCGTCTTCCTAGCGCCTCACTCGTTTTTTAAATCTCTAACTAGCTTACATAGTCCATTGTGGAGTTGCTGGTTCAGTTTCATCCTGGGCTGAGAACAACCTATGCTACTCCCACCCGTTTTTAGTGGCCTTTGGAATTGAACCCATGTCCTTGTGCGTGTTTGGCCAAGTGGTATTGCTGAACTATATCCTATGACTTTTTTTCTTTATTTGGTTTTGTTTTTTCGAGACAGGGTTTCTCTGTGTAACAGGTCTGGCTGCCCTGGAGTTCAATTTGTAGACCTGACTGACCTTGAACTCTCAGAGACCCGCCTGCCTCCTGAGTACTGAGGCACACAATGCGAGTTTAATCCTAGAGCTTTTTAATTGTACTTATTTTTGTTGTTTTTTTTTTCTTGTTTGTTTGTTTGATTTTTTGACACAAGGTTTCTTTGTGTAGTCCTAGCTGTTCTAGAACTCACTATGTAGATCAGGCTGTCCTCGAACTCACAGAGACTCACCTGCTACTGCCTCTGCCCCCAAATGCTAAGTTTAAAGGCATACGCCACCAGCCGGGCAGTAGTGGTGCACGCCTTTAATCCCAGCGCTCGGGAGGCAAAGGCAGATGGAGTACTGTGAGTTGGAGGTCAGCCTGGTCTACAAGAGCTAGTTCCTGGACAGTCTCCAAAGAGACAGAGAAACCCTGTCTCGAAAAAACAATATTAAAAAATAAAAGAAAGAAAAAGGTGTGCACCACCGCTGCCTGGCACATTTGATTGTTAAAATGTCATTATTTGTGTCTTTTTGGTGTGTGCGTGCGTGCGTGCGTGCGTGCGTGCGTGCGTGCGTGTGTGCGTGTGTGTGTGTGTGTGTGTGTGTGTGTGTGAATGAGAGAAAGAGAGCACAGGTGTGGACTTTCAGGGCTCTGGGAATTGAACTCAGATCCTGCGGTTTGCACAGGAAGCACTTTGACCTACAGAGCCATCTTTATCTTATCTTTTATTTCGAGGTAGATTTTGGATAAGTTGTTGAGGCCTGGAACTCACTTTGTTGCCCTACAGGCTTTGAACTTTTAACCTTCCTGGCAGGTGGGAGTTAAAGGTCTGTGTAGCTGGGCATGGCTCCTTTTCACTTTTATTTTTGACCGGAAAGGTTAAGTCAATACAGACTATCTTGTGCTAAAGCAAGAATAGAGGCTACTGAGTTTTGCTTGAATTTCTGTTTCTGTTTTAATTCCCTTTTTAAATGTATATTTTGTGTAAATATTTCACAAGGAGAAAGCGCCAAGGATCCTAAGAAACTAATTTGAAATGAAAAGTCTCTTCCTGGTTTTATATAGCCTGACAGATGGACACCTACAGCGTTGGAATTCTCTGCCCCTCTCTTCCATTTTTATGAATGACAGAAGGAAGAAATTATTCATCCACACACTTAGAATTCTTGTGGCTTTGTTACGTGAAATAAAGTTTCAACATTGAATTTTAGTTCTCCCAGCACACCTACTTATATGTAAGAATGGACCTTAGGATTTGGGGCTGTTCTTTCTGGATATCACATTTTCCAACTGAGCCCCTGTGTGTGTGTCTGTATGTCTGTCTGTCTGTCTGTCAAGAGTAAAGAAAGCTGGACATGATAGTGAAGCTCAGTAATCCCAGATATTTGACTGGATGCTTAGCATTGACACCTCAGCAAGAACTTGTCTCAAAATAAAAAGCAGAGAAACATTGAGGTAAAGTTCTTGCCTAGCATGTCCAAGGTCCTAAGTTTAATACCCAAAATCCCTTGCCACATACAAACAAAAGAGCAAAGCCAAACAAAATTTGGTAGATCATTGTTTGGAAGCCCAAGGCAGGAATGTTAAGCGTGTGAGGTCAAACAGGCCGCGGTGTCACACGCCTTAGATCCCAGCATTCCAGAGGCAGAAGCCGAGAATCCTTGTAAAATCAAGGCCAGCCTTACCTACAGGGTGAGTCCCGGAATGGGACATGACGACAAAACGCTGATGGAGGGCATTTCAGGGGAGAAACGGGTTTATTTTTATTTTATGTGTGTGGATATTTGGCATGCGTGTATTTAAATGCACTCCATGCATGTTTGTTGCCATGGGGGGGGCGGGGGGCGGGGGGTGTTTGTTGCCATGGGGGAGGGGGGGCGCTCCTGACACTTGAAACTAACTAGGGATGGTTGGGAGCCACACAATATGGATGCTGGCAACCAAACGCCAACTTCCAGAGCAGCCAAGAACTCTTAACCACTGAGCCAGCCGCCATCTCTCCAGCCTCAGGACAGGAGAATCTTTCTAAATGATTCTAGTAGGCCAGTGAAATGGCTCTGAGCATAAAGGTGCTCCCTGCCAAAAATGACAATCTGAATTTCTTACTGTACCTGTGAACCAAGGCACTTGTCTCTGTACTCACATTCACACACATAACACATACACACATAAATAGAGTAACAATGTTTAAAAACCCTTTTACTGGTTGTGGTGGTACACACCTTTAACCCCAGCACTCAGGAGACACAAACAGGTAGATTTTTGTGAGTTTGAGGCCAGACTGGCTTATATAGAGAGTTCCAGACCAGCCAGGACTACAAAGTGAGACCCTGTCTCAAAAAAACAAAAGCCTAGGAGGCTGATGAGATAGCTCAACAATTAAGATCACTATCTGGTCTACTAGAGGACGGGGGTTCGAGTCCCAGCACCCACATGGTACTTTATCTCTAGGGCCAGGAGATGGAGTTACCTCTTCCGGCCGCTATGAGCATTAGGCACACACATGTAGGTTCACAAACATACAAGCTAGTAAAATGCCTATACATATAAAAGTGGAATAAACAAAAAGCTGAAAAGTATATTCCTATTGGTCTTCATTTAAACTGTGATCCACTTTAAACTGTGATCCCTTCCATTTATATATATATATATATATTTCATATACTATATGATAATAAGGAACCAGAGAATTTCAAATTAGAGTCTAATTCCTGCTTTTTAAATTAATTTTATGTTCTTTGGCATGAGGGTGTCAGATCCCCTGGGACTAGACTTACAGACAGTTGTGAGCTGCCCTGTGGGTGCTGGGAACTGAACCCAGGTCCTCTGGAAGAGCAGCCAGTGCTCTTAACTGCTGAGCCATCTCTCCATCCTCCCCTCCCCCCCCCCTTTTTTTTACACTGTCTTACCATGTAAGCCTGGCCAGTCAGAAACTTAGAGCTATATGCTTCTACCTCAAGACCTATTTTTACTATTTATAAATGATGTTGTATGTGTGTGTACCTGTGTTGGGTCTGTGCACCTGAGTTCAGGTGTCTTTACAGACTATGCGAGAGCATTGGATCCCCTGGAGCTGGAGTTCCAGGTGGCTGGGAGCTGCCTGACTCGGTAAGAACTCCGGTCCCCTGGAGAACAGCAGTCTCTTAGCCACTGAGCCATCTCTCCTGGTCCTTGTTATTCTTAGCCCCTCATGATAGTGGGGATCAAACCCCGAGCTTTATCCACACACTAACCTTCTGCTACACTACACTGTCTTTCCCTCTTACATGCGACCTGGTCTCACTACACAGCACAGGCTAGCCTGCCAGTTTCTATACCTCCTGTTTTGGTTTGAGTGCTGGGACTCCAGGCATGTGTCAATCTGGCTGTCATCTGGACACAATTGCTAAAATTCCACTAATCAGCTGTGGGAGTAAGGAGCTTGGGGGTAGAAAACCTGATTGTGTGCATGTCCTCCCCCCCGAAACCCTGATTGTGTGCATGTCCTCCCCCCCGAAACCCTGATTGTGTGCATGTCCTCCCCCCCGAAACCCTGATTGTGTGCATGTCCTCCCCCCCGAAAACCTGATTGTGTGCATGTCCTCCCCCCCGAAACCCTGATTGTGTGCATGTCCTCCCCCCCCGAAAACCTGATTGTGTGCATGTCCTCCCCCCCCCAGCATTTCTAAGAAGCCCTCCTGTAACCCTCCCAACTGTGGGTGCTTTTCTATCGGAGCCTCTGCATATCCTCACTGAACTGTATCACATTGTTTCTTTCTTACTGGTTTTCACGTGTGAATGCGGCATGCATGGGTTACGAATGCTTTCACACACGTGGTGTTCTGAGGCTGTGCTGGGTGTCTTCCTCCATGACTCCGCACACTCTACTGAATCAGGGTCTCCAGGTGGACTCGACATTTCAGCCAGTGTGCCTGGCGATTTCCCCATCTCTGTCTCCTGTGCACTTTAAAAATTTTTTGTGTTTGAGTGTTTTGCCGCTATGTGTGCACCATGTGTTTGCTTGGTACCCATACCCCTTAAACACACACACACAAAGAGGCAGGAAAATGCACACGCGCGCGCGCACACACACACACACACACACACACACACACAGGAAAATGCACACACACACACAGGAAAATGCACACACACACACACACACACACACACACAAACGCACACACACACACAGAGGCAGGAAAATGTGTGAATTTGAAGGCAGCCTGGCCCACACAATGAGTTCTGTTCCAGTTAGGGCTACCTAGTGAAACACCGTCTCAAAAAAGAAGGAAGGAGGAAAGACGTGAGGGAGGGGAGACATACAAGGGGAGAGAGACGGCATCGGGAAGAACAAGTCTTAAGGCGGTCGGTCCCCCTAGGGGGTATGGGAGGGAGCCATTACAGGACCCGGATGTAGGCGAAAACTACACTTCCCAGAACGCACCGCTCCCTCTGGGCGACTATATAAATAGTCCATCCGGGTTCTTGGAGATGCTGTTTGGCGACTCGTCGCCATTCCCGGAGCAGCTCGGCCTCGGCGCAGAGGCGAGTGTCGGTCGCTGTGTCGGAGACCCCGGTCGCCGACACCGAGGCAGCCAGCCGTCTCTCCTGCCCCGCGGCGGGAGAGCGTGTCCGGCCGGCCGGCCGGCGGGGCTCGCGACCCTCCCGCACCCCGCGCCCCCGCAGCCTCCGCCCCGCCCCGCCCCGCCCGCCAGGCCCGGCCCGGACCTGCGAGCCCCGGCCGCCGCCGCCGCCGCCGCCGCCGCCTGTCCGGCCTCCGCCGCCGCCGGGCCCCAAGCCCCGCGAGCCGCTTCTCCTTCCATTTCGAGAAGCTGAGGAAGGAAACGAGGAAAAATGTCGCCATGAAGGCCGAGAACCGCCGCCGCCGCCGCCCCCCGCCGGCCCCGAACGCCATGAGCCTGGGTCCCCGCCGCGCCCGCCCCGCTCCGACCGCCGCCGCCGCCGAGGCCCCCTTTGATGCCGCAGAGCTCCCCCAGCGCCGCCGCCACCGCCTCCGACATGGACAAGAACAGCGGCCCCAACAGCTCCTCCGCCTCCTCGGGCAGCGGCAAAGGGCAGCAGCCGCCCCGCTCCGCCTCGGCCGGGCCGGCCGGCGAGTCTAAACCCAAGAGCGGTAAGAGCCGGCCGCGGTCGGGGCTGCGGGGTCACCTGGGGACAAAGGACCCGCCCCCCCTCGCCCTGACGCCCGGCCTTTGGGGTTAAGCTGACCCGCGCCGCGCGGTTAATTTAGGCCCTTGCATTCGTGTTCGGAACAGCTGCTGGAAGTAGGCGCTATTCTTAGCCCCATTTTGCAGATGAGGAATCCGAGATTTAGAAAGGGTTAATTAAGGTCATCCAGGTAACGAGAAGCCTCGCGGCGGGCCCGGTTCGTGTGACTCATCAGTCCACGCTCTAGAACAGTGCACCGAGTTTGATGTGGGGTTAGCATTGGGTAGCGTGCAAGTTTAAATAAAAGAGGGTGAGGCCCGAGGATTTCCCCACCCCCCACCCCCAAGACTTCAACCTGGCACCAGATGTGCTCGGCCCTTTTAAAGAGGACGGACTCTTTCTGGAAATGGCGTTGCGCTGTGTGGTGGTAAAAACGTGCAGGGTATGCACTCAGTCTTTTTAGGTCCAGTCCTTGAGTTTGCTTTGCCTGTAAAAGAGGAGGTAAAGCGCCGTTAAGCTCATGAGCTAAGTACGGTGCTTGACAACTGCTTGCACCAAAACTATTAGATGTGTTGGTGTTTTGCTCGGTTACAGGTAGGGGTGTGTGAGAGAGGGGGGTGTTGCTTTCACGGGGAAGATGACATGTGTGCAGTCACGCTTACTATTAAGCACAGCCTAATGGTAAGTTACTGATCACACATTTACTCTTTGATCCTTCACAAAGCACTGCACTGAGCTCTTGTCTCTGTTATCCGGCCTAGTGAGGTGGAGCTGTCCCTTTTGAGGAAATAAACGGAGGCTGTAGGTTGTTAGCAATCTGCAGAATCCGGCTTTCTCTTTTACACCTTCATCATAATTATTGGCGGAAATGGCAACGTGGGTTTTTGGTTTGTTTGTTTTTGAGAGGATTTTGTTGTTTGTTTGTTTTTCTAGACAGGGTTTCTCTGTGGCTTTGGAGGCTGTCCTGGAACTAGCCCTTGTAGACCAGGCTGGTCTCAAACCCACAGATCTGCCTGCCTCTGCCTCCTGAGTGCTGGAACTAAATGTGTGCGCCACCATCCCCCGGCTGCTTTTGAGATTTTAATTCCAATGGTTCTCCTTCCCTTTCCTCCCTCCAAAGCCCCTATATACCATCCCCATATCCTTCAAATTCATGGCCTCTTTTTAATAATTGTTTTTGCATCATATGTGTTTTTTTGTGTGTGTGCATGTATATGTATGTATGTATGCATTTATTTTTGTCGAAAATGCCAAACTAGATGTGTGTGTGGGATGATCCTCAACCCTGCACAAAGAACTACAGGCAACTTAGGAAAGCTGGGAGTGGGTGAGGTGATCTTCCCCAGGGAAGAGCACCGCAGTTGTCAGTGCTCAGACTATCAGCCCCGGTAAACATAAGTGCAAGTACCATAGTAGGTATGTGTGACAGAGAGGGGGCCCTTGGAGGCAACAGTCTGATTCAGAAAGCTGTAAGGATAGTTTGGCTAGTGGTAGGGCACTTGTTTTGAGTGTGCAAGGCCCTGGGATTAACCCTTCCCTCCACCCATCCAGTTTAAAGTAAAAGGAAGAGCATTAAAGCACACACATACATCCCAAGTTTATGAGGCTTACTGACTTTGCCTTTGCCTGAACTTGTGTGACAAACTTCAGGGTGTGACAAACTCCTTTACAGGGCGTGTAAACATGAGGACTTGTGGAAATTGCCTGTGAAGACCCAGCTGATAGCCAGTGCTTTAAATATCTAATCAGGAGTAAGTGTGACTTAGGTCAAGTCAGGAATCACTCAGCTAATTCTGGAGTTTTCCCACGTGTGTGTAGCTTTATCATGAATCTTTCTTCTTGGCTATTGTTAGAACTGGTTTAGAGAGGTCTGAGTTGATGACCTTGATGACCTTGGCTTTGCACTTGTTTGTAGATGTAATATTAAGCTTTGGTTCTCCAAGAATTCTCAGCTCATGTTTTAGGGCCCTATTTAGCTGCAGTAAATGTTTTGTTTATTGTTTAGTGAGCAATAGGCCAAAGCTTGTGACCGAACAAACAAAATGACAGGACAGGATCAAGGGTTCACTGCTGTGCAGGTGGAAATAACTAACTTCCTGCTCTCCCACATAAATACATCATGCACACATGATTATGATGCATTTAAAAATTAAAAAGATGGGGGTGCCTTCTTCTAGCCTGCAGGCATGCATTCAGTCAGAACTTTGTATACATAATAAGTAAATAAATCTTAAAAAAAAAATTAAAAAGCTAGCTAGGCAGTGGTGATGCACACACCTTTGATCCCAGCACTGGGGAGGCAGAGACAGGCAGATCTGTGAGTTAAGACCAGCCTGGTCTACAAGAGCTAGTTCCAGGACAGGCTCCAAAGCCACACAGACACCCTGTGTCCAAAAAAAAAAAAAAAAAAAAGCTAGAGAGCTGATTTTTTTTTTTCTTCTTCTTCTTTAAATGCATTTTACCATAACCTTAACTTTGACATTAGTTCCTGTAGAATGTTGGAATTACCCAACAATGTGGTGCCTAGTGTTGTAGCTTGACCAAAATAAGTAATTGTCAGTGTTAACATTTCAGGCAGAATTGTGTGATTGTATGTGATGATTGATGATTGGCTTTATTTTTTTCTTTTTAAGGCAGCCTTACTGAGTAGGCCAGGCTTGCCCAGAATTCCCCAGTCTGCTTGATTGCCTCCCAGGTGCTGGTGCCCTTCTGTTTTCTTACAGTTAAATATTTATATAAAACACATTAAAAACACTTGTGAACTGGATTTCAGCTGAATGCAGTGTCTCACACCTATAATTCCAGTGTTCAGTTGATGGAGAAGGACCTCCTCAAATCAAGGCTGAACACGGAATGTCAGGTTGCCTGAGCAAGCATCAACTGTTTGTTTATTTATTTATTTGGCCCCAGTTATCCCTGAACTCGATCGGTAAACCAGGCTGGTCTTGAACTCAAGGATCTGCCCAAATTCTTGTTTGAGACAGGGTCTCACTGAGTAGTAGCCTTGGCTGGCTTCAGACTGAGAGATCTACCTGCCTCTGCCTCACACGTGCTGGATAAAAGGCCTGTGTGTCACCATATCTACCTAAGTCTTGATATCTGGGTCATGTTGTGCAGCTGAGGCTGGCCTCACACTCTCCTCCTTCCTCAGCCTAGAATTTCCAGGATCACAGGCACTAACTGTCCAACTGAAATTTTTGTTTGTTTGTTTTGAGACAGGGTTTCTCTGTAGTTTTGGAGCCTGTCCTGGAACTCACTCTGTCTGTAGACCAGGCTGGCTTCGAATTCAGAGATCCTCCTGAGTGCTGAGATTAAAGGCATGTACCACCACCACCTGGCCAGCTGAAATGTTTTTTGAGTAGTACATGTCCTACAGTTTAACTTTAATTTTTAGGCAGTTTTAGCTATGTACATTTTTTGCTGGAGAGAAAAATAAAATCAATTGTTTTAGTCTCCTTTTTTATTACTACCTCATGTATGAGAGGGACATTTGTTTATTCATTGGGACTCGGAGACCCACTTTCCTCTGTTCAGCTTTGTCTTTTCTAAAAAAGAATATGCTTTCCTGTGGCTGGCTTACACTGGCTCTTCACTGGCATGCTCATAGGGAACTGACTGCCAGGATCCTGCTCCTAGGTCTCTCTGCTCACAGCCTCACAGCCGTGGCCTTGGCTAATTGCTTCACATGCTAAGAGAACATCCCTTTTCTGGCTATGTTCCTACAGCTTTATTCCAGCAGGACTAAGACTGGTCAGAACAGTTTACCAGCAACTGTCCCAGCAGTTCAGCCAAGAGGAGAGAGGAAGTTTAGGGAGCAGGAGGTGCCACTGAGGAAAAACTGAGGAAGAGAGGTCAGGGGTCATAGGCAAACTGTAGGCTCTGTTCAGGGGCCCTGCTCTTGTCCTTCCCTAAGCAGGAGGCGCTGCTGCCGAGGGCAAGGGGAGGTCGGGTTATGAAGCAGTTATTTGAGGTTGGTAGTGTGCATGTCCTCACTGACATCCTTCCTGTTTCCTGGGATCAGAAGCTGGTCAGCAGGCAATCTGACTTGGCTGTGTGCCCCTCACAGCTGCGTGGTGCCTGGCGGCATCTGAACTCAGTACTCTTGAGCCTTCTGAGTCCTGAGCCTCCAGTGGGTGCTGCCTAGGAGCGTGATTGTCTGGTGTTAGTACAGTAGGCTTTTCTAATCATAGCAGCTGTGTGCCACCGCTGTAGAAGATAGTTAGTGCCTTAGATGCTTTCTCAGTTTTCCAGGCTCTCTGAGGAAGTAGGGTGCAGGGTTAGCTCTGTTTGTACACATACAAAAATGAAGAGTTGCAAGTGTTGCCGGGATAGGAGGTAGCTCGCTGGCACATGCTGCCCTCCAGATACGGATGCACTCTTCATTCAGAATTTCTCCTTTCAGTAGGATGTGATTGGTTGCCAGATGCGTGGGTAACCAAAGCTGTATGTTTCTCCTTTGGAGATGCTTGTCCACTACTGTGAATGATGGATAAGCACCTGGCTTGATGAACCAGCAGCAGAAACTTCCTGTCTGCTGTGCCACCTGTTAGAACTAGACCTAGAAATGTGGATGGTTTTAAGCATCTGTGAAAAACTTGTGATCCCTGATTTGGTAAGGGGAGGTAGATCTGCTGTCACCTGGCAGGGACTTTTCCATTTGGGAAAAAAAGGAACAAGTCGCTGGATTAAAGTTTTAGGACTCTAGGTTCTGGATTTACACCATCTAATAGTTCTGTCAGTTAGAGTCTGTGTCTTGGTAATATGTCTTGGCAGTTCTCAGCTCTGTCAGACTCTCCTGAAGATCTTTACACAAGTAAGGGTGTGGGGCCTTTTCCTTCCAGTTCCTTCAAAGCCTCTACTCCACTCCCCCCACCCAGTCTTGCTGTTCAATCCTGGCTAGCCTCTAATACACACAGAGATTCTGCAGCCTCCTGAAAGTCAGAACTAAAGGTGTGAACTACTTTG